CATTTTGGGGGGCCATCGACTGTCCCGTCGGAGGTCGAAGCATGGCCTTTTTGTGCGCTCTTGGTGCACTCTTGGGGCGCTGTTGGTGTCGTCTTCGGCCCCTCTTCGGCCCCTATTGGGGCTCTCTTGGATCATCTTAGAGCCACTTTGACACCGCACAAGCTCGTCGGAAGCGGAAAGGCGAGACGCCAACACACATTCGTTCCCAACCATTATGTGGTCTTGGGTCCTCGTTTTGAAAAGACAGCGCCCCGCGTTCCTCTCCTCCTTCTCCTCCTCCTCCTCCTCCTCCTCCTCCTCCTCCTCCTCTCCTCCTCCTCCTCCTCCTCCTCCTCCTCCTCCTCCTCCTCCTCCTCCCCTTCTCTTTTCCCATTACCCCCCTCACTTTGGCACACCCCTCACACGTTTCGTGGCCCCATAGGGAGCTCCACCAACGGCCCCATTGGCGGTGCCTACATGCGTCCGCCACACCCATTTTGGCACACCCCCACACGTTTCGTGGCCCCATAGGGAGCTCCACCAACGGCCCCATTGGCGGTGCCTACATGCGTCCGCCACACCCATTTTGGCACACCCCCACACGTTTCGTGGCCCCATAGGGAGCTCCACCGAAGGGGCACAGTGGGGGTGCCCACTTGCGTCCGCCACGCCCAGTAAAGCGTTTCGTGGCTCCATAGGGAGCTCCACCGAGGGCCCCAGTGGGGTTTCCCCCATGCGTCCGCCACACCCAGTACTGCGTTTCGTGGCCCCATGAGGAGCTCCACCGAAGGCCCCAGTGGGGGTGCCCGCATGCGCCCGCCACACCCAGTACAGCGCTTCGTGCCCCGATTGGGAGCTTCACCGAAGGCCCCAGTGGGGGTGCCCGCATGCTTCCGCCACACCCAGTACAGCGTTTCGTGATCCCATAGGGATTTCCACCGAAGGCCTCAGTGGGGGTGCCCGCAGGCGTCCGCCACACCCAGTACAGCGTTTCGTGGCCCCATAGGGAGCTCCACCGAAGGCCCGAGTGGGTGCGGCCACATGCGTCCGCCGAGCCCAGTGCATTTCGTGGCCCCATAGGGAGCTCCACCGCCACACCCAGTACAGCGTTTCGTGGCCTCATTGGGAGCTCCACCGAAGGCCCCAGTGGGTGGGGCCACATGCGCCCGCCGAGCCCAGTACAGCGTCTCGTGGCCTATAGGGAGCTCCACCGCCACACCCAGTACAGCGTTTCGTCGCCCCACAGGGAGCTCCACCGAAGACCCCAGTGGGTGTGGCCGCATGCGTCCGCCACACCCAGTACAGCGCTTCGTGGCCCCATAGGGAGCTCCACCTAAGAACCCAGTGGGGGTGGCCACGTGCGTCTGCCACACCCATTTCGGCGCACCGCTCACGCGTTTCGGGCCCCCACAGGGAGCTCCACCTAAGGCCCCGGTGGCGACGTTCGCATGCGTCCGACCGACTCATGTCGGCACACCCGTCACGCGTTTCGTGCACCCATAGGGAGCTCCACCGACGGCCCCAGCGGCGACGTTCGCATGCGCCCCCGCCCCCCGCCCATTTCGGTACACCCCTCACACGCTTCGTGGCCCATGGGGAGCCCCACCGAAAGTTCGCATGCGTCCCACCCATTTGTCCCCCCCTGCCCGCACTGCCTTCGTTCTTCTGCGGCGCGCTGTCTATGAGAGCAGAGGGTATACCGCGTGCGCTATTCGGGGTTTGCGTGCCTCCCTCCTTTATCTCATCTCCTTCGCCGTTCTCGCAGTTGCATCTGGTTGGGTCTTTCGTCAAGCTAATTTTCGGTAGGTTTCGGAAGGATTTTTTTGGTTCTCGGGGTGGGGCCCTGGGAGGTTCCGTGGCCACTTGGAACAGTCTTGGGGCGGTCTTGGGACTTCTTGGGGGCGTGCTGGAGGCTATCTTGAACCGATCATGTGCGATCTTGGAGGCCCTCTTGGGCTAGCTGAGGCTTGGGCCAGCTTGGACGCTCCAGCGCCTCACAACCAGGCCCGTCCAGACCGAGGAAGAGGGTCAGGGGGAGAGGTAAACTTCTTTCCCCGAAGAGGAAGAATAATGTTGAAATGTTTTATTAGCAAAACTACTCACGCCCAAGTGGCTGTTGTTCCCAGCCATCCTGTGGTATTGGGTCTTCGTTTTGAAGAGACAGCGCCCCGCGTCAATTACTCCTTCCTCCTCCCCCTCCTCCCTCCTCCCATCCCTAACACCCCTACACTTTTCGTGGCCCCATAGGGAGCTCCACCGAAGGCCCCAGTGACAGGGTTCGCATGCGGTTCTACCTCCATCTTGGCACGCCCATCTCACGTTTCGTGCCCCCACTGCGAGCTCCGCCAGAGGCCCCAAAGGCAGGGTTCGCATGCGGTTCCACCCAAATTTCGGCACAGCACTCACAGGTTTCGTGACCCCGTGGGGAGCTCCACCGAAGGCCTGGTGGCAGGGTTCGCATACGGTTCCATCTCGATTTCGGCACACCCCTCACGCGTTTCGTGCCCCCACAGGGAGCTCCGCCGAAGTCCTCAGTGGCAGGTTTCGCATGCGGTTCCACCCTCATTTCGACACACCCCTGACACGCTTCGTGGCCCCATAGGGATCTCCACCGAAGGCCCCAATGGCAGGGTTCGCATGCTGTTCCATCCACATTTTGGCACACCCCTCAGACGCTTCGTGGCCCCAGCGGGAGCTCCGCCGAAGGCCCCAGCACGTTTCATGGCCCCATAGGGAGCTCCACCGAGGGCCAGTGGCAGGGTTCGCATGCGGTTCCACCCTTTATTTTGGCATCCCCTCACACGCTTCGTAGCCCCGTAGGAAGTTCCACCGAAGACCCCAGTGGCAGTGTTCGCATGCGGTTCCCCCACCACTTCGGATCATCTCTCATTTGTTTCGTAGCCCCGTAGGGAGCTTTACCGAAGACGATACTCACAACTATGGCATTCACAACTGCGTATGGTTGGGTCCTTTGGGATATTCTTGGGCCATGCTGGAGGCTGACGCCCTAACCACGATCCAACCGCGCGGGTTCCAAGAGCGCCCGGGTCCTGAGCAAGTGCTCGCTGACAGCGTTCAGCATTGGGGATTCTAATGGGCTTGGAGTTTTTTTTGTTTCTTCTTTTTTATTGTTTACCCTCTGGGCCATCACGCGCGTTATGCCCCCTACCCTCCTCCCTTCACCCCCCCATGACGTAACTCTCCCCCCCTCAGTGCGTCCCCGCCACCGCCGCGCTGCGTCCGGCACCACAGTCTCGGGGGCGTCGCTGCGTCATGCCCCCTCCCGTCCGCCCCCCCCCCCTCCCACCCAAAAAACGCTTGTTATGGCCGCAGATCAAAAATTCGCTCTTGGGGACACTCGGTTCGGTGCTGATGCTCGGTGGCGTTTCGCCGCTGGGGGCCCCAGTGCACTGCTGTCAGTGGCATTGCGCCGCTAACCGCTGACGCGCAGCGCGACCCACCGCCGCCCCCCCCCCCCCCCCGTACAGGAGGATCTTCGACGAAAAATAAGAAATAGTCAAATAATACCCCAAAATGGTCAAAACATGCTCCAATAATGGTCCTCCAAACTATTTTTTGAGTATTTTTTGATTATTGTTGGGGTATTCTTTATTGTTCGTCGAAGATCCCCCTGTATGGGGGACAGGCCCGACTTAACCCTGCCTCCTACCTCCTCTTCTCCTCTTTGGGGGGCAGGAAGCCCCAGCCAGCCCAGAAAACGAGGGAGTGCCCAGGGTTGCCCAGGGACATCCTCCCCGAGGAGCAGCCGCAGCCTGGCCCAGATCCTTCCCTCCTGGATCTGGTCGGAGTCTCCCCCCTTCCTGTCTCCAGGCCTCCCAGACGAGGCCCGAGTCGATGGGCACCGCAGGATCGCGCCGCATCGCCGATTCAGCGGCGATGCGGCTCGAAGTGGAGCCCGATGTTCTCCACGCCGACGCCGTTGATGCATCGCCGATGCATCGGTGATGCATGGGCGATGCCGCGCGATCCCCCAACCCCCATATGGTCGGAATGTGGGAGGCCTCTTGTCTCTCCTCCACTTCCTCCCTCTTCTCCCTTTTCGCCCCCCTCCCTGCCCAGGTGCACCTGAGCCAGATGCCTCCTCGAGTGGGACAGATGAAGGCACTGCCGGCCAGGGCTCGTTTTTCCCACATCATAAAATGGGGCTTTTGTAGTTCTTCATATCCTAAGATGAAGATCTTGCTATAACTTAGACGCCTCCCTTCTCCTCCTCCTCCTGCTCCTGGGTTTAATGGGGTGAGGAATTGGGATGCAGGCCAGCGGATGGCCGAGGTGAATGAGACATTTTCGTGTCATCTGTGTTCGTACATCCGCAGCTCGAGGCTGAAATTCCACACCAATGCTTACTCAGTGCGTTTTGCGTGGCGCCGTACTTGCGATCTCATCGATGCGAAGCATTTTCAGAGTGTATGCAGCTTTCCTACAGTCCCGTACGAGTGGTGGCCCACTTGGCAGAAAAGTCTGACAATGGCGTTCTGTAGTCATGGCTACTTCTGGTCGGTTGCCGAATAATGCTGGTGCCGAACTCGACCGAAAAAGGATACCAAGGACGCCCACGAACAGACCAGAAAGGGCCAAAGGCCGCACCACGCTGACGCTACGGCTGGCCGCTTGGAAGGCTTTTGGCGTTGGAAGCGCCTGCGGCCAGCCAAGGATATACGTCTTCCCCCTCTTGTTTCCGTCTCTCAGGTGGGGCTGGAGGCGTTGATGCAGCAACGACGTCCTCTTACGGGGGTCGATACACAAACTGTCCTTCTCCTTGTCGCTCCGCCATGCCTGTCTCCCCACACGCGCGCGTTCCACGCTGTTCAGAAACGAAGCGAGGATGGGGGAGGACGAGAAGGGTGGAAGGGGAGGGAGGGCCTGTTCTCAGCTTCCGCTTCAGCCGCTCCCTGCATCCCTGCGGCAGACCTCGACTATGACCAAGAAGTCCGAGCTAGAGTTCCGAGTCGTGCAGACTCTGCAGCTGCCTGGCAAGGGCAAGGGCAAGGGCAAGGCGCGGATTTGCTCGGAAACCATATGTGCGCACGTAGTCGATGATACATTCATCTCCTTCCCGGATGTTTTTTGCGCCGGCTCGGGACCCCGGCCCCGCCCCCAGGCGCGCCTCGCGCGCCATTGTGTGTGTGTGTGTATGTGTGTGTGTGTGTGTGTGTTTGTGTTTGTGTTTGTGTGTGTGTGTGTGTGTTCCTGTGTCTGTGTGTCTGTGTGTGTGTATATCTCTGTTGTCTGTGTGTATACCTCTCTAGATACACTATATGGGTATGTATGTCTGCATATCTGTATGTCCGTGTGTATGCATGCATGCATGTATGCATACATGCATGTACGTATGTATGCATGCATGTATGTATGCATGTTATCCATCTATGTACGTATGTGGTGCATGTTCTGCTACGATATGCCACGACACGGCATGCTATGGCATGGCATGCTATGCTATGTTAAAGTATGCCCTGGTACGGTATGCTATGCGGTGATATTGTATGCTATGTTATACGTTGCTATGCCATGCTAACTTATCCAATGCCAGACTGTATGCTGAAATGTTATGTCATGTCGTGCTATCTTATGCTGCAATATGCTATATTTTGCTATGCACTTGTATGCTATGTTACGTTATGCTATGACATGCCATGAAATTGTATGTTATGTTATGATGCAGTATGCCATGCCATGCCATGTTATATCATGATATGTTATGTTATGCTTTGTTACGCCATGCTACGTTATATCTGTATGTATGTATGCATGCATGTATGCATGTATGTATGTATGCATGCACGCACGTATGTATGTGTGTATGCATGTATGTATGTATGCATGCATGCATGCCTGCATGTATATGTATATATGTATGTCTGTACGTACGTCTGTCTGCCTGTATGCATTCATGTATGGTTGCATGCACGCATGTATTGATTGATGGATGCATATATGCATGTATGCATGTATGCATGTGCATAGGTATGTACGTACGTCTGTCTGTCTGTATGTATGCATGTCTGTCTGAAACTATATATGTATGTATGTTTGTCTGTCTGTCTGTCTGTCTGTCTGTCTGTCTGTCTGTCTGTATGTATGTATGTATGTATGTATGTATGTATGTATGCATATGCACACTGAACGGGGCACTGGGCCTGGGGCCCGGGACCCAGAGCCGGGCCCCCGACCGCAGATGTGGGGCCCAGGGGCCCAAGAGGGCCCCAAGAGGGCTCCGAGAGGGCCCCAAGAAGAGTCAAAGGCGAAGTCGTTTGCCGCCTCCGAGACTCTGCGTGGCATCTTCACCGTCGGCGCCTCCGGTGGAGCCGGGCACGCAGGCTTCGGTGGGCTGCGTGTTGAGCGACGAGTCGTGCGAGGTGCCTCGGTCGCGGGGAGCAGCAAAACAAAAAAAACAAAACGAAGAGCCCAAAGCCGAAGCTGCTATCCCAAGATGCACCCACGTGGCCCCGAGAGGTCCGCGAGACGGTCCAGGAGGTCTCGCCAGGTTGCCGCGACACGACCTCGGGAGGCGAACATTGTTAGTTTTCCTTCGGTTCTTGTAGTTTTCTCTGTTGCATCGTTTTTCCCATGCTTTCGACGGGGCGCAGGCGGCCCAACAAGGATTGTAAACCACCACGGGACGTCCCAAAGAAGCCCCTGGAGGGCCCCCAGGCGGCCGGAGAGGAGACCTAGACTGCTCAAGAGGGCCCCCGGACGGCCCCAAGAAGGGCCAAAGACAGGGAGCACGAATGGGCACTTCGAGGTTCCCGCCCCAAGGTGCTCCGAGAGCGCCTTGAGAGGCCCAAGGGAGGCCCAAGAGAGGGCCCAAGAAGCTTCCCGAGGTGACCCTGAGGCGTCCCTAGAGGAGGACAGCTGTATTTTTCAATGAGTTTTTGTAGGTTTTCCTTGTATTCGACTGTCCACGCTTCCGGCCAAAGACGGCCCCAGAAGCGCCGTAAGCTACCACACGACGTCCCAGAGAAGGCCTCTGGAGGGCCCCAAGGCCTGAGAGGAGACTAAGCCGGCTCAAGAGGGCCCAGAGGCGGCCCCAAGAAGGGCCAGAGAGAGACACCACCCACCAAACCACCCCGACCCAACCCGAAGCCCTCAATTTGCCCTCCATTTCCAGTGTGGGGGGGGTCGGGGAATGTTGAAAAAGCACATGGAGCCCGTACCCCCCCCCAACCCGAAATTGGGGTCAAGTTGGGGTGGTCTGGTAGGTAGCCAGAGAGGGAGCATCAGCGAGCACCTCGAGCTGTCCGCCCCAGAACGGCCCAGATCGCGCCAGCAGAACCAGGAGAGGGCAGGAGAGGCCTTCCTGCACGTGTCCTGAGCCGCGCGAAAGCGCTCCCAAGAATCACCCCAGAGGGCCTCGAGGTGCCCGAGTGGAGCCCAAGGCGTGCCAACTTGCCATCTTTTTTCCCTTCCTTCGTCGTCGACCTCCTTTTCTCCCCCCTCGGCCTGCCCCCCTCCACGTCTTCCCCTCCTCATCTCGTTTGTGTGCTGCTGCTTCTGCTTCTGCAGCTGCTCCTCTTTTCCTCCCCAGTAGTTGACGTCTTCGCCGTCCTTCTCCTCCTCATCCTTCTTCTTGTCCTCCTCTTCCTCTTCTCCTCCTCATCTTCTCCTCCTCCTCCTCCTCATTCTTCCCTCCTCCCCCTCCTCCCCCTCCTCCACTTCCAGCAGTGGCGGCTTTTGCTCTTCCTCACCGAGAGGCTCGCGCCGGGGTGGGAGCAAGGGTGCGTCGGACAGGGGCTCCTCTGTCACCGAGCTGCTAGAGCTGGCGGCCCAGGCGACGGAGGATGCAGCCCTGCGGGCGGCGCTGAAGCAGCAGATCGAGAAGATCAGCGCTTAGGCCAAGGCCGACTCCGAGGCGACCATCTCGCCCGCGGAGGCTCTGCGCAAGGCCGATGGGGCTTGGAAGAGCGCGGAGCACCACCAAAACCAGTGCGTGGACAACGTGCTCCGCCTGCGGCAGAACCTGCAGGCCGCGGAGGCCAAGGAGGAGCGGGCCGCTGTCGCCCTCGCCCAGGCGGTGGTCGCCAAGAAGGCGGCGGCTCAGGCAGTTGCGAGGGCGGAGGGGGTAGGCCCTCCGCCACCGTCGGCGGCGGATGCAGTCATGTTCACGATCGAGTGGGACGAGTCCTTCTTCAGCTCGCTGGATGACATGGAGTGCGCGGCGGAGGAGCGCAAGGCATTCAACACCTTGCACGACCAGCTCAAGGGCGTCAATAATGACCTCAGCGGCAAGGAAGCAGAGATCAAGGCGTGGCTCGACAGGGCCAAGCAGAGGCAGAAGGACATATCGGACCGCACCACGAAGAAGAGGAAGGGGTGCAACGGTGTGGCGGCGGCGGACGGCAACACGACCCAGAACGAGGCTGCCCAGAGCTCTGGTGCGCACGCGCCTGCAGCTGACACTACCAAGGGCTCCGAAGCGCCGAAGGTGGCGTCCGAGGTCATCGAGGAGGAGGCCAAGAAGCTGTCGGCAGCGAAGTTCGTCGTCAAGGCAGATGAGGTGGCGGCCAAGTCCAAGTCCAAGGGCAAAGGCAAGGGCAGGGCTGATGTGGGATAGGCGGCCGTTGCCGCTTCGTGACTATCTGTAGACGATGATCGCCACACCGAAGGCACCACGACATTGTTCTATGCCCATGTCACCGCCTTCACGACTAAGGTATGGCAGTGCATCCAATTCAATTTTTGCAAGTACGCATATTGGGCCAGGGTAGAGACTCGCATTCACGACGAGTCCGAACTCAGGGGTTTGGACAAGAAGGCGAGAAAAGCACACCTGCGCCTTCACAGCAACGCAACCCGCCCCTCAGCCAAACCTGTGGCAGCTGGTTTCGAGGAGTGGGCGAACGAGGGCGGCGAGTTTTTCATGGCCCAGCAGCACCTACAGGCGCACGTCCTTCCAGAGGCGCGGGTGGCAGCTGGACATCTCCGCGGGGTCGGCCAGGCAGGCCTCGACGGATTTCTCACCATGGTGCTGCACGTGGCGGGGTACTCGATCATTGTGGTCGTGTTCTACGCGCTGCCCAGCATCATGATGACAGGCCACAACAAGGTCATATTCCAACGGCTCGGAGGTCTTCTCCAGGCTGGGAGACTCCCGTGGGTGATCGTGCGAGACTTCGACATGGGGCCCGACAGATTTGGGGCCACTCAATTTGCGCAGCATCTGGATGGCATCATTCGCACGGCAGGCTCAGAGGGTGCATGTGCCAACAGCCAAGGGCGCGACAAGGTGCACGACAATGTTGTGTGCAGCCCTGAGGCCATGCCATTCCTGCAAACAATCGGTGCTGTGAGGTCTGTCCCTTGGAAACCTCACCAAGGCCTTGCTCTGGAGTTCCGCAGTTCTGGCCTCCGGCTTCTCACCCGCTCTCTCGTCGTCTCCCCGAGGCCTCGTCGAGCCCCTAGGCCTCGCAGAGAGCCCGCGGTAGGTTCTAAATCTAGCTTGTCGCGGGCCCGTCAGGCTATGCTCAGCAGCGCGAGGCTCTGGAGGCCCGCAGGTCTCGGTTTTACGAAATGTTCGGGGATTGTTTTCAAGGCTCTGGGTCCCGTCGTCGGTGGAGGGTGTAAGTCAGGCCCCTCCCGAAGAGGTCGATACATCTCTCGATTGTTGGCCCGGCGACGAGGATGGCCCGTGGGCTGGCCTGCTTAGACGCCGGGGCGTTAAGTAACGCCCTCATCTCCCTGTATCATCCCGTCCTCCCCGACCCGAGCTCGGAGGTTGGCGTAAGCGCTCGTTCGCAGGAAATGCAGCTGGAGTCTGGTCAGTCGCAGAAGCAGTTAGCACCCCCTCCAATTCGAGCCAGCCTCCCCCCTCTCAAAATAAGGAAAACGATTGAATCTCGATGTAGGTCGGCAGTTTGCTCAAGTTTCTGGCCCTGGGCCCAGTCCGCTGCAGGTCCCTGGAGGTGAGTCGCCGTCGCCGCCCGCGTTTGCCATCCACAGTCAATTATGGGTCGAGAGCCGACGGGGGGCTGGATTCGCCTCGGGACAGGACTGTAT